ACAACAACAACAACAACAACAACAACAACAACCTCAACAACAACAACAACAACAACAACAACAACAACAACAACAACAACAACAACCTCAACAACAACCTCAACAACAACCTCAACAACAACCTCAACAACAACAACAACAACAACAACAACAACAACAACAACCTCAACAACAACCTCAACAACAACCTCAACAACAACCTCAACAACAACAACAACAACAACAAGTGCTGACACCCCCGATACGGCACACAAAGCTAAGCTATGTAATGCAATATCATAATTTATGCGCACAAATTAAATAATATTGGGGCACTTCCTAATGATTTTTTTCGTCTATATGCACATCAGCGACAGGCAGAGGGGCTCCATCTCACACTTTCCGAAGGCTACACGTCGAGTCTGGGTGTGGGTTACTCACCGCTAAACTGGTCAATGCGTATCAAATATTTACCAGCCAGTCCTCACCTTTTTTTGTTGTGCACTGGCCTCTGTGTGTTTGTGCGACGTTGAACGGCTGTGTGAAAGCTTCTCTACCGTTACGTTGTTTGTGCTATTGGTGGTTCATGGCGAGGTTCTGGAATGGTTTGCTCCTTTTTTCCTGTCAAACATAGATTTTTAAATACAGATATATTTTTCTTATCTCTCCTCCTCTTTTTCTGCGTGTGTTACTCTCGAGTGATACCTCAAATCTCCGGCCCTTGTTTGACCGTTTTGCGTTGCAAGTGCCGTAAAACTCTTACTAAAACTAAGCGAAATTGTTGGTGGAAGTTACTGTAGTGTGAGTTTCAAAGTGTGATGAAGAGTGAGTGTTGGGTAACGAACAGGTATTTTAGCAATAAAATTATGCTTTGCTTCCCCTTCCACACAGTTTAGATCGTTTTTGAGACTAGGTGCATTGATTCTGTGATCTTAGAACCTACCAGGGATGTGTGGATTACTTCAAACCAAATACAAAGACACAAAAAAGAACACGACATTCCTCGAAAAAGAATTGGGTCTAGGTCTATTATTACTTGGACAGAGAAAAACATCATAATCAATTCTAGCAACAGATACTAACTTAGTAACATACTGACAAAAGATGCAGACTTCGATTCATGGTCTTTTCTCTACCCTTTCCAGCCGTTTTCAAAATCTTACTTCCAAAAGCGTTACGTTCACATCTTGTAGAAATAGCAGCTCACCCCTCAGATACAGAAAACTTACCATTCCATTTTTTTAGGGGGGGGGGTTGTTGTTTTATTTTACTTCATAATTCCTATATAAAATCAAAGTTAAACCCAGGTTAATTCTAATTGTAATATTTCTTCCCCCAAAAGACCGAAGTTGACCTATGGGGGCTATGTACGACGTGCTTGCGCTCCAAAAATTCGAAATGAAAAAGCCGAAACAAAACATCGTGAAGCCGAGGTCGCAACCTAACAGACAGGCACCACGGTTTTGAGCTTTCTAGGAAAACATTGAGCTCCTAAAAGTTTTACTGCTTGTTGTTCAGACAACGTTTCACCTCTCGCTCGCAGGACCGTGCAAAGGTGTTAAAAGCGTTATGCTCCCACATGCCGAGCTTTTGATTTATTTTCGGCGCTACATATCTGTGAAATATATTCATGTCTTTATGCACTGTGTGTTCCACGTCTCGAATGAGAGAGAGAGAGAGAGAGAGAGAGAGAGAGAGAGAGAGAGATGGAGAGAGAGATGGAGAGAGAGAGAAAGAGAGA